GAACAGACTCAATGGGAAGGCCAATTCCACTGGCCCAGATTCATTCATTTATGAATGCGACTTTGGGGGAACCTTGGTTAAGGTTCGCAGGTGCTTGTGTTCGACCGAGTCTGGTTGACGCTAGGATAGTGCATTAAAATTGCCATTTGATAGGGAGATGGCCACACAGCCCTGTCATATAGTCCCAAACAGGAAATGACTTCTGTGGCAAAATGCACTATGTGTCAACAAGGACAGCCACAGTAAAGTAAGTTTGTATGTAATTTGGCCTTGTGGATGTTGCATTAAGATATGAATGAGACAAATATTTTTTTAACTAAATACATTGAACATGAGGATGCACATGTGAAAAAAAGGCTTGTACAAAAGAGCTGGAATATTCCCTTCTCACAGGAAAATGAATGTTTGCAGCAGCATAATGTACTATCATCACCCACTGGAATAGAGAGTTCAGTTGGCAGCATTGGAAAACTATGCCATTAGGACGACAAAATATTCAAAAAACTTATTTTTGTTAAATTGATAACTTAAGTGTTAATTCTTTCTATAGTACGATTTCCTCAGGATTTTTGAAAAAATATCAGTTTTCGGATGCTGATCATTATTTCGGCTGTGGTATTAAGAATGAATTTGTACATTAATCGGCTATACATTTACTTCATCCATGGGTGAATACGTCTTTAGTATACGTCTATGTGCGAGCAATTAAAAACAATACATGTGCTACAAGCTCAGGCATGTTCTTTTCATAAACTTTTCTCAATTACTGATTGTTGACAATGCACCAATTACATATACAGTCAAAGCCCAATTTTACAATTTCAGATTACCATACCCAGACAAGGTTGATAGGCATAATAATGCATTGAAACTTGTTGTATTGCAATTATGTGACTAAATCTAGTGCAGTGCAGCTACTAGTACACAACTGTGGTTCTTTTGTATATGTAAACAAAACAACTTGGCTGAATTTGAAATTTTAAAACCTAAATCACAGACAAATGTACAACTGTTTGCTTTTTTCACATTCAGTATTTGCTACGTTCACACAGCAGCATTCTATCAGGGCTGAACTACTGCTCCTTCCACCAATTAACAGGAGATTATCTCCAATGCGTATATAGTCAGAGCCATGTTGGGGCCCAACCCTATCAGGGTTAAACCTCAGGGGTTGGAGCCAAGCGCATATACACGGCCATTTTGCTGGCTCGAGTCATAGGGCTCTGATAAAATGGTGTTGTGTGAATATAGCAATTATTAAGACAAGCAGCATGCTATTCATGTCATATTTTAAGTTTAATCTGTGACAGGCCTGGGAATTATTTATAT